TCGATGGCTGTGGGGGTGTCTCCGTTCCCCCGGCCCAGTCGCGTCGAGGGCCGAGGGCAGGCCGCCGTGCGCCCCGCCATGCCCGCGAGGAGGCCGGAGATGTTGCCGTAGCGGGGTGGAGGAGGCGTTCCCGGCTCCCTCCCCAGTAGGCGGAGGCCTAAGTGGGTTTGGGGTCCCCGTTAGGCTTGGCTTACCGGACTTGGGGTCCCCGTTAGGTTTGGCTTACCGGACTTGGGGTCCCCGTTAGGCTTGGCTTACTGGGCTGCGCGTTCTCTCAGGCCCGTGGCCTGGGCTCCTTCTGGTTTGATGCGTGGCTGCCACTGGGTTGACTTAAGAGTAAGTTGGAGTTCCTGGAACAGCTTTCTGCCTGGCAGTAGAACAGAAAGAGTAATTTCCTAGTATAATACAAAACCTCTGAAATATCTCTTTACTTTCACAGTTATGGAGCAAAAATTCGTGCCCCACATGCCCTGGTGATGACTTTCCTATTCAAGAGCGGAAGGTACAAACCCCAGTTCTGTGTTTCTGTGTTACTGTTTAGAATGCTTTCGTTCAAGCATTCCATTTGTCATGTTTCCAGAGGGTGTAGAAAGCAGAAAGATACGTGAGCTGTGTTCGTGGCCCCTTGTTGTGATAGCTAAGGACAACTCACACACACAAATACACATAGTGGCAGGGGCAGCCCCTCTGGCATGGCTGATGAGAACCAGTAGGAAAAGGAGAGATTAGCAGGTGCAAGCAGCACTACTCTGCTCTCTGTTCAAATAAGGGAAGCCAAACTGTAGCAGTGCACATTGTGCCTTTCCCCACTTAATGCCAGAGGTTTACACCTGGGTAAGAAATTTTGTAAAAAGCTGGTTTTATAGAATTCATGCAATTGGACAGAAGCACAGTCCCCAGTCTATACAGAGCTGTGTTCTGATGAGTGAGCCAGAGCTGATGGGATTTCTCCTTCCTGACAAGATGTTCTGGGAGGTGCCCAAGGTATCAGTCTAGATGGGCAGGCCAGCAGGGCATAGTGTCCAGGCTGAGTGACTGCATGGTGCTGCCTCTTTGCTCTCCTAATCGTCTGTTTCTTTTCTTCAGTTTAAGAGAGAAATTGAGGTCGATTGCTCAGGCTACGTACACCCACTCCCGGAACCTGGCCTGGTTTGTGTTCACCTACAAGGGGCTGATGGCGCTGCAGTCCCGACTGCAGGGGAAAAACATTCCCTTTCATTCTTTCTTTGCAGCCTGCATTGGGGGTTGGCTAGTGTTTGGTGACAACAATCCCATCAACAGCCAGGTAAATGCAACCACTGAAAGTTTCCTTGACAAAACAACCCCAACAGGCAGATGGTCGTGTGCCAGGAAGTGGTTGGTACAGGCTGGCATGTTTCTGGTGGTTCTTACCACCTGCTATTGCTCTTTTACTACGTTCCTCTTCACACAAGTTCTTGTTCTGACTGCTCTGCAGTGTGCCTTTGGGAATGGTGTGTGCAGCATGAGCACTGAAAGCCCGTGCTGACCCCCAGAGCTGCCCTGTGTGGCTGGGGAGGCAGGCAGCCCCCAGCCCAAAGCTGCTGGGTTACCCCACCGGACACCCGAGCTGTGGTGACCTACTGTGAGGCTCCTCCTCACCCTGCTCGTGGGGTTAAACCCTTTCACTTGAGTGTTGGGTGTGTAGAGCACGATCAGTAACTGAGCTGCACATAACTGGTTAAACTGACAAAAGCTCCTCTGAGGACTTTTTGATTTAAAGCTGATTGCTAACAAAAAGTCATAGATTGATTAATGAGTAAAACACACAGATGTAGGTTAATCAAAAGAGTTCTACTGATGCAATGCCCTGCAAGAGTGTACCCCAGGTCTGGTTTTAGGCTGTGTCCAGACTATGGGGTGTGTGTCTGCTGGGCAGGTTGGCTGGGCTGCCCCATGACTGTTGTATCAGCACTATCTGTGGTAGCCTGAACTGCACAGAGACCAAACTTGTGCAACTGCAAACATAGGTTGCATTAAATGTTACTTGTTGATGACTAAATCAGAGCACCAGCAGAGAAGCAGGACTTTGCAGGGGAGACAGAAACATCCCCAGTTACCAAGACTGTTTGAGATGTGAACCTCCAACCCTTTTCCTTTGCAGTTGGGTAGATTGTCTCCCCCCTCCTGCCTAGATTATCGCTCCCCCTGGCTGGGCAGGTCGGGTCAGGTCGGGTCAGGTCCTTCCCCTCACGGTCTCTGGGTTCTCCCTGCAGATCATTATGTACCTGCTGTCCCGGATCCTCTTCGGCCTGTGCCGCCTGGCGGTGGAGAAGGGCTACGTCCCACAGCCAAGGCAGGATCCCTTCCCACTCCTGGCTGCTCTGGTCTGGGGGACGGTTCTCTGGCTCTTTGAACACCACCGGCAAACCCTGCAGCCCTCCCTGCAGTCCTCCATGACCTACCTGTATGAGGACAGCAACGTCTGGCACGACCTTTCTGACTTCCTCCTCTATAACAAGAGGACAGACAACAAGTAGGTGGTTCATTGTGAAGCACCTCTGGATGGGGTGGTACCTTCCAGCAACAAAGGGAAGAGGTTCTTCTCTTGCTCTTGATTGGTGATTTTTTTAAAAAATTAATGCCTATGAAGCAGAGTTGCCTCTTGTACCCTGGCCAAAATGTTCTGATGAGTCTTCCCTTGGCTCTGTTTAGAGCCCACAGAAACTTGTTGCAGTCTTTTCTAAAAGAGGCCTTATTTTCCTTACAAGTATGGTTTTGGGGTTTTCTGGTTTTAAGGAACTAAATATACTTATAAAATGACAGCCTGACAGGAAATGAAATGTATGTCTAATCATGGAAAAAAATATCTTTATCTGAGTGCTCACAAGATGGAAGCATTTTTCTGTGCTCCCCATAGTGGTGGGAGTGGGGGACATGCTCATGTCTGAAAGCAGGGACGTTATTTCTGTGGACAACTGGGAACCTTGTCTGAACTATTACAAAGTTGGTTGTGTGCTCTCTAAGAGTTTCTCTGCAGTTTTCCCTCAGGGAGACAATAAGATGTTTGAGAATAAAACTGTTGTCTGGTACAAGCCTGCTAAAACAGGCTTGGAAGGACTTTTTGCTCGGTTTCTGTCATGCACTTGGGCTGAATCTGTCCCTCTGCAGAGTGCACTAATTCATACTCAGTAATTATTTTAAACTTCTTGTGAAGTTCCTGAAAGCTGCTTGAACTGAATAACAGAAACACTTATGCAACTGAGACTGCTTTGGGAGCAGGCTGAGGCACATCACCCGCCCTCAGCTCTCACGCTGGGTGCTTCAGATGCAGAAACCAGCAACACTTTCAACAAACACTTTTATTTTGGTGGAAAATAAGCACGTGGGTTTCCCTTAGGTCCAGATCTATGTTCTGCAGCAGTGGCATGTGTTAGCTATAACCAGACTTGAAGGTACCTGTACTTTGCTGAGCTAGGTTGAGGCTATGGGTGGAAAATCCAAGCAAATCTTCCTCTTAAAAACACACTGTTGCAGCACACACTGGGATTTCACAGAGGATTGACTAGAGAGCTGGAAAAGGACAAAAGCTGTTAAAAGTGCAAAGCACTTGCACTGCCATATAACACTATATCATTCACTTCTTGATGTACATTAAGATAACCCCTGACACACTGTTTTTATGTGGTGATATCTTAGTGAGCTAGGTTGAGGCTATGGGTGGAAAATCCAAGCAAATCTTCCTCTTAAAAACACACTGTTGCAGCACACACTGGGATTTCACAGAGGATTGACTAGAGAGCTGGAAAAGGACAAAAGCTGTTAAAAGTGCAAAGCACTTGCACTGCCATGTACATCAAGAAGTGAATGATATAGTGTTATATTAAGATAACCCCTGAAACACTGTTTTTATGTGGTGAAATCTTAAGGGGGCCTACAAGAAAGCTGGGGAGGGACTTTTTAGGATATCGGGTAGTGACAGGACTGGGGGAATGGGGCAAAGCTGGCAGTGGGCAGATTCAGGCTGGATGTGAGGAAGAAGTTCTTCCCCATGAGAGTGGGGAGACCCTGGAATGGGTTGCCCAGGGAGGGGGTTGAGGCCCCATCCCTGGGGGTCTTTAAGGCCAGGCTGGAGGAGGCTCTGGGCAGCCTGATCTAGTGGGAGGTGTCCCTGCTCATGGCAGAGGGGTTGGAACTGGGGGATCCTTGTGGTCCCTTCCAACCCTGACAGACTCTGATCTGTTTTAGCAGAGGACTTAGTAGTGTTGGCTTGATGGTTGGACTTGATGATCTTAAAGGTCTCTTCCAACCTAAAGGATTCTATGATATTTGCAGGAGTCACTAAATTCCCTGTGCTAGCCAGTCCCTTTTGGTTCAGTCAGGATTGTTTTGTTTGCACTCCCTGTACCCATCCACTTTTCCATCCTGACCCTGTCATTTCATAATCCTGCTGTTGCTGTTCATTGTCTTTTGCAGTATTTTCACCCTCCAGCCTCTAGCAATTTGTCATACTCAGTGGTATGACTGAAATAGTTCAGGTAGCTTCAGAGTAGAGAAAAATTCTCAGCTTCTTTTTAAATCAATTTTCCTCATCCTCCTAAGCTCTTATTACTGTATTACACCTATTTATTACTCATATTAGACATATTCTGACTGCTTCTTTGGTGTTTATTTTTCCCCTCTGTCAGCAGGAGGGAGAGTGAGATGTTCCCTTGCCCCTGGTCTGTGTTGTTGTGATGTTTGGGACTGAATTGCACCTTGAGTGGCTCGGGTGGAGTAGGAACAGGGTCTTCTGACTCTGGAACTGAATCTCACACCAAGTCCAACTGCATTCACTGAGATTACTGAGAGGTGGATATTCCTTTGTGCTCGTGCTGTGCAAGTCTGTGACATAGCCAGGAGACAAGATGCTGCTTTGCATTAACTCTTTGTGGTACCTTTCACTTTTAACTTCACCTGCTATTACAGCCTGTACTGGATACTTGAATTGGAACAATAATCAGGATTTAATCTGATGGATCCCAAGAAAGCTGTAGAAGTTAGGAATTGCTTTTGTTTCTTTGCAGTTAAATATTTTGCTGGATGTAGATAAGCTTAAAGATTTGAGTACAGAAAAAACGTAGCTACAGGTGAGGTCTGATTTCTTTATGAACATCATGTCTCTATTTGCACCACTGCTGGATATCAAGCAGCACGAGTGCAGCACTCTATTGTTGTGTCAGAAACCTCAATCTTGTTCCACTGTTGCTGAATTCCTACAAGCTTTGATGGGATTTCAGAAGACCCTTCCACAATCTCAAGCTATGACTTGAGAATTCCTCCCTAAAACCATTAGACTCACAAATCCTTGACCATGTATAATTATTGCAATAATTACTGTGTGGGCTGGTTATGTCACCTGTGTACCTTTAACAAGTTTTTAACCTTTTTAGTTTATAGCTGTTGTTCCTTTCTCTGAGGAAGGCTTGTGGTTCTCTTAGGGGCAAATTAATTTTCTTCTGCTGGTGATTCTGCTGCTGCAACCATGTGGCTGCTCGTGAAGCACTTCTCTGGCCACATGAAGGACAAGTGCCCTGCTTAGTGCTTTTTACACTGCTGTAGGATCTCCATCCTCTCCAGACAGCCAAAAGCCAACAGAAAGTTTCTAGTATCGAGCTGGCAGCAGTGCCCGGCCGTCGTCCTTGGTTCAAAACACCCTTTTTCTCTTGGGAATCCATCCCCAACCTCACATTCAAAGCAAATTGTGTCCAAGCCTCCAGCCATCTGTTCTTCTGCCCCAGGACCCAGCTGCTGTCCCTGGAAGACAAAGTGCAGCCCGTGGCAGGAGCGGGTGCCCCAGCAGCAGCCGTGCCTGGACGGTTGGTTTTCCCCCTCCCTCAGGGCAGGACGTTAAGCTGCAAGTCATTTTTTTTTTCCCCCCAGGGAAGTAATTGGAACAGTTCTTTAATGGCATTAGTCCACGTTGCTGTTTCTGTGACCAGATAGCTGGGGACGAACCCCTTATGCTACCAAGGTGTTGGAACAATGCGGGCGTGTAGTAAGGAAGTGAACTAGAAGTAATTTGTCTGAGTCAGACTTTTCGGACACATAAGTTACACTCCCTGCCCTCCCCCAATGTATTGTGTGGGGGACTGAGTCCCCTGTTTGTGTTCCTTTATTATTAGCATTAAAACCAAAAGGAATAAAGAGACGGTTGGAAAGCCACCTGCGAATCAGCCAAATGCTTAAGAATCACAAAGCAGTGCCATTTTCTGCCCCCAGCCCTGCCTGGTTTTCAATTTTAAGATGGATGTGGATTTGTTTGTCTACATCAACTTCATTTCCCTTTGTTATTTCTTCCTTGACACCTGACCATGAGACACTGAGTGTCTCTAAAGAGCAGCAGAGTGTCTCAATGCTTGGCTCAGTTTGTAAAAAAAAATTAGGATTACTGGATAAAATTGAAGTGTTCATTTTAAAATGATGCTTCTCTTTGAGATTTTAAGCCTCTTTTAGAGGCAGTTTTAAAGGTTAATGAATCAAACGGATCAAAAGTTTTCAGCAAGCCTTGAATAGCAGCCTGCCTATACTGAGCTATTAATCATTTATTTTCTGAAGGAACAAAGCAAGTGCAGGGTTATTTACTGCTGCTGCATGCTGCCCTCTCATACCCACTGTGCTCTGCTTCCCTTTGGAGGACAGTTCAGATGTTTGTGCTGAAGAACCCTTTCCGGGACAATTACATTATTGAACAAAGGTGCACATTAAATGGGTGCCTGACATTTGGTTTAGCTGGGGTTTTCTGTACTGTGTTTGATCCTTCCAGTTAAAGGGAGGATATTTCTGACAGGAAAACCAGTGCTTGTCCAGTTTGTGCCACAGAGGAGTGCTTGGGGAAGGTGTGAATCTGTGTTTGCAGTGTGCTTTGTCCTGGCCACCAGCCCTGTGGCTGGGCAATAACCAGCCCTGTTCAGGACAGTGGAGAGGCTGCAGAAGAGCTCTGGTGTGGGTACTGTGAGACTTTCTTGCCCTGGCAGTGGAGTTCAAGCTCTGCTTTAGACCGAGCTGGGTTGGGGGGATGATCTCTGACTGAACTAGACCAAAGCTGGGTGTCCATGGGGACCCCCTGGGCACCCTCAGCTCTGCAGCCAGCTGGGAGCCATTGGGGAAGGCTGGTGCCAGTGGGGGAACCACAACCCCATGCACATACCCTCACACAGAAGAAACTGCTGGGACTTTTCACTGCCTCAGCACAAATACGACCTTTGGATAGTACCCCTGGCCGTGCAGCTTCCTATTTGTCAGACTGTGTTTGTCTGCCTGGATCATGCCAACCTGAGCAGAATGTGGTCACGTTTCTAAGGCTGGTTTTGAAATCCAGCAGATAAAGGAGGAGAGAAAAGAAGGTGTAATCCTCTCCAGCATAACGTTTGCCTTTCACTTAATATTTTTGGGGTGCTAATCTTGAATTTTTCACCTGTATGTTCATACAGATTGTTGGAAGAGATAATATTTTTTCTTTACTTAAAAGATTTTTTTTTCCTCTGTCTCATTTCCTTATGAGACTGGTGATGAGGAGGGCAAAAAACAAATGCTCTGTAATACAAGTATTATTACCTCTGCTTTTGGTATATGTTTCATGTTCACAGTTGCTGTGGAATCCAATCCCAGATGCTCTGACAGCTTAGAAGAAAGTTAAGAACATAAACTTGGGTAACTTGTAATTACACTGAGCAGAA